GTATGTAATTTTGAAAAAAATATTTCAAGAAAAACAAAACAGAGTAAGTTAAAATTATCGATCAGGTTTTTGCAGAAATAGGAATTCATGTTTTTTCTTTCTTTTTTCTTTTCAACTTATTATTGTAGATATTTTTATATTATGGAGTTAGATGCACTCATTCCTTTGTTATGCGAATATAATTGTACCCAAATTACTTTATTTATATTTTTATGTGCAGAATTATATATACGATTGTTTGTAAATTATTTCATATTTCCATCCCTGTCTCTCTCTCTCTCTCTCTCTCTCTCTCTCTCTCTCTCTGAGCATTGTTTATTATTTCTCTTTTTGTGCAAATTATTGTAATTCTAGTTGCAAAATTCTAATTGCAATACTCTAATACCACGATATTTTTAATTAAATCATTTTTATGGATAGTTAGAGTAAATCCTTGTCTTTGTATTTTAAAATTGAAATAAAAATAAAATACATTCTGGTAAATATTTTTACACATACATTATTAATCAAACAATTCTTATTGCACATATTGTTTACCGACATGAGCAAAAAGACTCGCAAACAATTCGTTGCTAATTCAAGAATATTAACTCATTATGTTAAATGAAATATTTATTTTTAAATGTCTAAGTAAATCACATTTAATAAATATTCGATTGCAAGCACGTATTCATTTAAGATTCAGAGATTATCAAATTTATAGCAAAAGAAAAGAAATTGCGCGTTAGTGCAAAAATGTGAAACAAGAGTTTATATTTTATTGTTTTTTTTAATATCCCGTCTTAATATATACATGGAAACTTCCATGCTTCGAAAGATGATGGAATGCAATAGGGTTTTCCATTACGCAATCATTACGTAAAGTGAAACTAGCGCATATGACAAGGATTACAAGGCAAGCAATCAAGTCCGGAGGATAGAGCCAAGGTCGAATTAGAGTTGGTCATTATGATCCTTACGGCGAATGATATTAATCGAGTCTGCCTCCGTCCCCGGATTTGTTCTCCAAATAACGCCGTCGATATGCTCCAGTAGGATCATATTTGTCCTCCAATAATTTCCAGTCGTCCGGTTTATTGTCGATTAGATGATGAGAGATCTTATCGGCCATGTTCTTTTGCGCCTCACTACAACCGGCGCAATCGTGCTCCAACGCATCCGGTAGATTCTCTAAAGAGATTGCAATAAGATTCTCTATTATATAGGGGTTATAATGAGATCATAATAATTATTATAATCTTAGAGCAGGGTTTTTCAATCAGTTATCGCGAAATACTGATGTGCCGCAAAGGATCTTATGGGAAGTGCGCCGCAAAAATTTTAAGAAAGAGAAAAGGAGGAGAAAAGATTTAGAAATAAAAACGAGAAGCGAAGTAAAAAATATTTTTTAAATTGTGAAAATTATTTTTTTTATTCTCGTTTTAAAATGATATCATCATTGCAATAAAAAAATCGCTTTTAATATAATAAAATGGAAATTAAAACTTTTACTGTTTATTTTTAAATGTCGTGTTTGCGGTATTTGCGGTTAAAAAACCTATGCTTGAAGCATATTTAATGAGACTCAACAAATTTAGTTTTTTAATGTTTTGCAAATTAAAAAAGCTTTAAAAAAATCTGCGTTAGAGCATACATGATTCACTTGATGCTTTGAAACATTCTTTTATTCTGTTAATAAAATTTTTGCATTTTTCTTTTCATTAGTTAATTAAATGCTGCTTGAAATAGCATTAAGTGGATTGCACTGATTCTCTAAGATTATGACACTTTATCTTCGTTTGCATTTATTAGCAAGAATGTAATAATAAAATCAGAATTATACAAATATATCTTGAGAGAAATAAATTTTTCAAATATCAAAGCATATAAAATTTCCAAAAAAATTGTTTTTAATTTTCAAGCATTCTTTTAAAAATTTAAAATTTTCAAAAATTCTAATTTTAAGAAATTTATATTTATAAGAAAAGGTGCGTGTAAAATAAAAAAAAAATTTTTTTGCTTTTACTGAGAATGTTCCAAGTCTCGAAATATATTTGAGTTTTTCTCTTTGGCTAAAGGATTACAGGAACATGGAGAACGGACGCTTCGCCGTCCTACGCATACTTACTTTTGAGTTCCGCTGCGTCTGGGGTGCAAGGATTCTTATCAAGCAGGCAACCCACGTATCCGTTTAACAGCCTGTCGTTGCTTAATATCGCATCCACGTCTACATTGTCGAATTTCGTGGTGTACATCTCTTCGGCGAGAACGGAAGAGGACGAAAGGACACATACGGTGATAAAGATGAGGTATCTCATTGTACCGGAGAGATTGTAAGATCGATGCGTTGCTTCTGATTCACTGCTTATGAAGCTCATTATTTCGTATGTTTTATAAGGGGCTTGGACACGGTTCGTTAGTCGGCAAAATCGTCGACAAAATCGTCCTCCTGTGTCCTTGCCATAATTTATCGAGAAAAATACACGCAATGAAGCCATTTCCTGCGTCGATGCAATTGATATTTCTCTTTAAATCCAGCTCTCTCTAAATTTTTTATCAATTTTTTATTATCAAATTACTAAATTAAAATTACTAAATTAAAATTATTTTAACATTATATTTTTTAGATTATTATATATAAATTATTATTATTATACTATAAAAGACTATATATAATACTAGATATTTTATATTCATATTATGATATTATTGTTGATAATTAAGAAGTTTCCATAAAAATCGCTATAAAATTTAAAGAAATTAAATGTTCTCAAGAAATCTTTTTTGTACCCAAAAATAAATAATTGAAAAAAATGTTAAAACGTTTTTCTGTTAAAAAAGAAGTGACAAAAATAGACAATACATAATAATTTTATTAGAAATTTTTTTGTATATTTGATAAAAATATATGAACAGTATAAAAGAAAGAAAGAGATTAATCCTATCGCAATCATTATACTTGTGTCAATTATAAAAATATATAAATAGATAAAATGCATAGCGCGGAATTTACGTATCATATACGTGAAAAGAATTCTCGTGTTCCAATTCCTATTTTTCCTATTATTCCTTAGATAGTATAAATGATGTATTATGTATGCGTGACCTCGACTTTTAGACGACTCGCATAAGGGACGATTGTATCACTGATGATTCTCGTTATCCATTCTCTGCAAAATTTTTTTAATTCGTAAATTTAAATTCTTCGCTTGAGGCATTTCGGCCTTGCATAACTTGCTAGTAATGCAATATCGTCCTCTGTCGCGGAGAAAATTGATTCTTGGAAGTCTCTTCGTGTAATTGCTACTGTCATCTTGGTAGTGTACTTTTGAAAAGCATTTATAATAACTACGGTGTCATATGAATAAAACAGTTTACAATTAATTTAGCAAACTTACTGATATTTCTCCATGTTTTTAAGATTTTTTTTTATTGAATATTTTTTTGTTGAACTTTAACTTTTAAGCAGTAATTTATTTTAAGTCTTAATTTTGTGTTTCAAATATTTTAATAGTATTATATATATAAATATTTTAGTAAAAATTTTGAATAGAATATAAAATATTTGTGTTTTTAATTATAGATTTTACAGATCATATATAAATACTAAACAAGATTTATGCTTCCTCATTAGCAATGTGCTAATTAGGTAAGAGATTAATCTTTTAGGGCGCTAAAAAAATTATAACTTACGCTCAAAGAAAGTTAAAATGACTTTATTTTGACAAAATGATGATTGATTTTTTTATTACCTTAACTGTTTACTGATGTTAATTAAAAATCAAAATAAAGCCTTTTTTATTTTTTATTGATTTTTATGTTTCTTTTAGTTAAAAAATTTAATTCTATAAATTATACTTTTTAAATATAATTGTTAATTTTCTAAAAAAAATTGATAATTTATAAAATTCTTTAATTGTTGATTTCTATATAGTTGCTAATAAAAAAGCATTATGTAAGTGCTTTTTGTCCGAACTACAAACCCTCTTAGAAAATTCCCGCTCCCAGGAAAAATCGATTCCATTCGACCAGTGCACATTCGTCTGATTTCAGAGATCAACTCAAAAGTTTCGCGTTTCATAATCCGCGACAAAGTGGCTTATCAGTGTGGACTTTTAATATTTCGTAAAAGGAAACGATGTCCGGCTTGGAGCGGATTAATCTCTGCGGTCGTCTGATCGAGGGAATGCGAAGGAATTTCCTGAAATATTATCTGAAAAAATGTCCAACCCTGTTTCACATCTGCTACGATCCGATCGGCACCCATCGGAAAGCGAGGGCCTTTATCGGATTTCTCTTCGGATTCGTCGCAGCTGTCGTGTTATATGAAGGCATAATCGTCGATCTACAATTTGACACATATACTAGTATCTTTCTAGGAGCCATCCTTGTCGTGATGCTATCGATAGGATGCGCATCATCGATACAGGTAATCTCTTTTCTTACTTCACTCAATTTAACTTATTATCTTTTATCTTACTTTTATACATTATTTTATTAACGTACTCGATTAAGCATCAACATTGATATCTCTCTGTAAAAGATACTCAAGGTACACACAAAAGTCAACGGGAAAGTAAAATGATTTTTTTTTATTGTTAACATCGATAAAACATCAAATTTTATAATTAAAAAATCAACATTTTGACATTCATGACGGCAAAATAAAGTCATTTTAACTTTCTCTTAACTTGATGTGTTCCTTAGATACTAGATTCTTTTCAGCAATGTACAGAAATGATACTGTGTACGATTCCGTTCTTTTCAATCGTAACAAGTCAACAAACTCGTACAAATCTAAAATGCTGTGTGTTGTTTTATAATTTATATGCATTTCGCGAATATCAAATTTTTACATGTATTTCATTACGATTTATTTTTTTCTAGAATTTACACCATGTATTTTATTACCATTTATTTTTCTAAAAGTGAAACTCGTAGTAAGAGGGTTTCAAGGTTGAAGACATTTGGATGTATGAAATCTTTTTCTTTATTTCCTTCTGAAATAACGATGAAATAAAAAAGCTAAGCAACGTTTCAGATACAAATCGACACTGTGTATTACTATGTCACGCAATGTATGACTGTGTTCCGTTGCTGGAAAGCAACTCATTCTTTTCTCCAGGAGTTTAAATTACTATATTGATCTAACTGCTATTCTTGATAAAAACTGGATCGAAACTACGTGTTTGCCTTGCCTAAATATTTCACAAATTGAAACTTGTCGTATTTTACTGCATTATAATGCGCTTTAATGTATATTTATGTTATACACGTTATCTTGTCTGCACAATTCTTATATAGGATTGCAAATATTTGTCGAGTAAATGTGCAATTCGAAGTAATTTCCAATGATAATAAGAAAATGTAGTTATGATAATTGTATATGCAATTTATATATGAGAACTTTGAAACGGAGATATTTAGTTAGCTGCGTTAGAAAAATTTGCGACATTTAAAGAAAATATATAATAATATTTTTAAAACATGTATTCTTATATCATGATAGAGAGAAATATATAGAATATTTAACAAATATAAATTGTTTTTACATAGAAAGAACGATTTTCCTGAAGTATCTAAACATTTAGATAATTAGCTCTAAATCCAACAAATAATTTTGCTGGATCATCAAAATATCAATTATAATAATTATCACTCAAATTGGAAAACTTTTTCAAAGTCAAAACTTTTTGTAACATTACTCATTTTGAACATTTTATAACATTACTCAGTTTGAATGTCTTATAAAATTGTCTACATTATTTTTTGATGATCTAACAAGATTATTTTCAGATCAATATTTACTACCTAAACTCTTAGATAGTTCAGCAAAATTGTATCATGAGTTAAAGAATATTTGGCATCGAAATCGTCGTTCTGTCAATTTGAATAGGTGAGATGCATCTGTCTTTTAACTATACCGACTTTTCTTGGCCGATCTGGACGCAATGTTTTGAGGGCTATTATTCTGGGATATATAATAGCGGGACCTATATTCAATTTAACGTACAACGCTAAAGAAGTGGTGAGAACTTTCGCTTGCACGCTGCAGTTGACATACAATCTCACCGAGACACGTTTCGACCTTATGTTTAAGCCGTTTCAACAGGTATCTGCTAATTGAAATAATAATGCAATAAGCAAATTTTGAAGAAGAAAATTAGTTGTTTGTGCGATAAAACTTCGCGCGAAAAAGTCAACCGATATAACCAAAGTATCTAATAATACATAGGCAGTGCTCGCCATGAAAACAGACACGAATGAGCTAAAGGATACTTTATCCTCGGTGAGAGATTTGATGAGCCCGATAGTCGAGGAAATCGAGGGCGAAGAGGAGATGAGGAGACTGAAAGAGGAGAACGACTATTTGGATGAGCTTCAGGATGATACGAGAAGAAGCGATGAGATCGAAGAGAAACATGAGAAAGAGATCGCGAACGCAAAGTCCGAGGCGGATGTTTATGAGGCGAAGTACAAGAGGAAGATTGAGGCGCGCTGCGAAGAGCAGCTTAGCCACGGTGCTGAACGATGCAGGTAAGATATTTAACATTGACTTCATCTAAATAACATAATCAGAGAATTTCGTAGTTGCAATAATTTTTAGATACATTTCTCGTAAATAGATTTCTAGGAATTCATTCTCATGCAAATTCGGTGAACGGTATAACAGTACCAATACAATGATATGATTTTTTGTAAGAAGATAAGTAAATAATGTAGAATATTCTTTCATTAATTTTCAAGAAAAATAATCTTGAATATAAAAATTAATTTTATTTGAAAATAGAATTAATTTTTATATTCATTGGATTGAAATAGATTGGAAATTTTCAATCCATCCGAATCTATATTTTAAGTATAAAAATAGATTGAATATCATATAAAAAATGTTTATACATATAAAAGTTTAAATAAATTAAAATAGCAATACATATATAAAATTCTATAGTTATTATTTTAAAACTTTTATACAAAAAGTTAGCTATATAATAAAGGAAATGTATTAATATAAAATATACATAAAAGCGATTAATTTATTAATTAAAAATAAGGAATTTACATATGTAATATTTATTGCACATATTTACGTAGTTCTTTTTATGTCTCTTTTAAGTATTAAATGAAGTAGATTTCATGATATATTTTTACGGTATACTTTTTTTTAATTCAGTTGAATTAAAACGAAAAATTTCTTATTCATAATTCTGAATAAAATAGCATTCATGATGCATTTTTAAATGAAACAATGGATTTTCTACTCACAATTTTGAATTGAATAGTATTCATGGCCTATTTTAAGAAAATTAATTCAATTGGATTGAAAAACTACATTTCCTATTCAGAATTTTAAATTAAG